CCAGGCGCCCCACACCAGCCATTTCTTGTAAGTGCTTGTTCATTTAGCATTCAACAGACTATGAAAAGTAGTGAGACTCCTATCTTAATTTAGTGAAAAAATTTTCCATAATATCTGGATCCACATGTGAGCCAAATATCTAGAACCATTTGACAGAACCATCAAATACACTTGTTTTCATTCCTGACAACTTCTTACTGTAATCTAGGATCTTCTGGTTTTATGGAAATAAATAATAGAAATCAGCTTGATGTGGATCCTGACCTATTGCATAAGCAGGATATAGATACCCTGGTGAAAAACTATAAATGATGATAATACCCCCCCATCATTGATTTGAAGTAGTTTGCCATTTTGCTCATTTTATTTATTTTAAAATCTGTGATTAATCTATTTTTTTTTGAAAAATGTACCAAAATTGGTGTTCTGCATGCATTCCAAACAGCTGTTAAGTGGTCATTTTTGGATTGATATCACAATTAGCTGCACAGGATTTTTCCAAAGGTTTGGCAATACCGCCCCTAGTAATGCTACGTTAGCACCACCATGTGGAGAGAAGGAACAGTATCACTCTCTATGGTTAAAAAGGGGACAGTTGATCCTCTTGAATTTAAGCTAATTTTACTAAATTTTTGCCTAGTAAGTTTTAGGAAAAATAGAATATTATTTTTTAGAGAAGGAAAAAACCCATTAGATTAAGATTTATTGAACACTTGCTGGACACTAGGCTTGTGCTAAGTCCTTAACATGTATTATCTCATTTCCTCCTTGCCATGGCCCCATGAACCACTGTTACCCACTTTACAGGTATGGAGAAGTGTTCGGATAATGTAGCCCAAATGCCTTCTAAAAGTGGACATAAAATAGTACTAACTCCATCCTCTAGACTCCTTTGCCCTTAGGACAAGCTGAACAGTCCAGTTTTCAAATGTGAACACAAAGGCACATTCTGTCTCTGGAGCATCATTTTGTTGTGGAAAGTCTTACTTCAGGGTCTTCTCTGTGGATCTTATTTGCTTCTCCTCTGGCAGCTTAAAGAGTGGAGAGCAGAGTAGAGTGAACTCAAGTATTCATTAATTCTTGTAGAAACAAAAACCGCATTACCCCAGGTGTTCAGAAGACTCTGAATGATTAGTCTAAAGATTAAGATTGTTGGGGCACCTGGGTGGCTCAGTAGGTTAAGCATCTGCCTTTGGCTCAGATCATGATCCCGGGGTCCTGGGATCGGGTCCTGCATCGGTCTCCCTGCTCAGCAGGGAGTCTGCTTCTCCCTCTTCCTCTCCCTCTTGCCTGTGTGCTCTCTTTCTCTCCCTTTCTCAAATAAATAAATAAAATCTTAAAAAAAAAAAAGATTGTTAACCAGACTCCTGGTCTCATGACCCAGGAGGTTCACAAATGGCAGGAAAATATCCTTGAAGGAGAGAAGGTTGTTCCTTGAATTTGGAGTTCTAAATCTAAACTACATCTTATTAAAAGATGTACAATATTAACACGAGTGACTTAAAAATTTATAACTTAACTCCTATACCCTGAAGTTCTACCAATTAAATACTTGCTTAGATTAGTAAATATATTAGACAATAGCTTATAGGTCTGCTAGAGGCACCAGTCTTTTATACCTTAGTAGTAATCAGTAAAGTAAGATCCATTTCTCTGCATTTGGGGAAGATCACTTGGGGCAATGAGGAATCTGATGGGGACTTACGGTAGGCAGATACTTTGGAGCATGAAGCACTTCAGCAAGGACAGGTCTGAGTGAGCCATCACTGGTGTAGGAAAGGAAACATGGTCCCAGGTACTAGAATTTAGGGCAGTACTGTAGATCGCTACCTTATGGATTAAATCAATAGTTTGTAAGCTAGTTTGGGAATTTAGTGTTTATAATGTTGCTCAGGTCTCTTGGAGCTATGACTCTCTGTGACTCAGTGACATTTTTTCTATGGGATGATGTGTTCTGAGTGTTAACAAAATTACAAGCAAAATTTTGTAACCTATTATGTGTTGGAAATAAGAAATTTATCAAAGACACACATGTCAAAAATGATACATTTTATATGTGTCAGATTCTGATATAAACACTTTAAATGTTAACTCATTTAATCCTTATAAGAAGGTACTGATACTATTTAGTTTTAGGGATGAAGCAACTGAGGCACAGAGTTTAGTGGCTTGCTAGGGTTATATAGTTGCTAAGAAGTTGTGCTAGGATCTGAATCCAGGCAGCCTGGATTCAGAGGTTATGGCTCTTAACCATTGTCCAAGATGTTTGTAACTTCTATGCATAGATTTTTGTTTTTTAAAAGGATTTTCAACTATGATTTCTCATTTATGCCTCAAAAATAACTGGGCAATTTTCAGGAGCTGAGAGAGAAAAACTATGGAAAGTAGAAATAGCTTAATGGAAATTCAGTTGAGGAAATCAATGAGGCTCAAGATTTGAATTCGAAAGCTATTTATAATGGACTTTGAGGGGATTTCAAAAAATTAGATGTGCATTACTATGATAAGAAAGTTCTTCTTTTCTTTCTTCCTTTCCTTCTCTTTCTTCCTCTCCTTCCCTCTCCTCTCCTTTCATCTTCCTTTCCTTTATTTTCCTTTCTTTCCTTTCTTCTTCCCTCCTCCTCCTCTCTCTCTCTTTTTGCATTTCCAATTTCAGCTTACTATTCTTGGGGAGAGAGATGAGTTTTTCAGTTGCTTTTTCATGAAACAATTTATTTCTGAATGGTGATAGAATGATTAAGCCTTCTTTTTAAGCATGAGAAATGTTCTGTAGACGTTAAATGATTCTTCATGGTACAGTTGAGAAAGTGTAGGATGAAGAAAATATAAGTATTGAAATTTTGAGAATTCTCAATCTCAAAGTATTCCTGTAACAATGGCAGCATCAAACACTGTTCCATTGATTTAGCTCAATAACATCATAAGTACTCGACAAATAGATGTTAAATCCCCACAGAGGATGCCCTTTTAATACTTGGTAATCAAATACTGCATGTAGCCAGGGAAATGGGAAAGATGCATTATCTTCTGTGGATAAGGCAGCAGATGAAGGTGGAATTAAGAAGACTGACAACAACCGAAGATGTAGCCAGGCAGGAGGTTTAAAAACATTAAGACCATGTATTTTGCTCAGCATACCATTCATTCTCTGATTAAGATATTTTAGAGTCCGTATGAGGGGTCTGAACATGAGCATGGTAGAATCAGTGGAACAACCATGTCTTGCAAGACTCACAGGTGGGTGGATAAATGCTCAAATGAATTACAAGTTCCTCAACCAGTTTTTAAGAGCTATCCTAAAGCAGGAGAGAATTGCAGAGGTCCAGTTGCAAGGCCTGTCAGCTCCTACAGGAAGTGTTGAGATAATAAGACATCATGAAGAATCATAATGGAGAAATAGCCTTCCATTCCTACACGTGTACCCCCTAATGTGCTTCTTAGTGACACGAGAAGCTAAGCAATTGTGGGAAGATCTGTAAAAGCACTAGGAAGTTTAAAAAAAAATCTATAAAAGCTCTCATTATGGAAGCTGCTCCCAGCCAAGAAATAATAAAAGAGTAACTGACATTGTAATCAGAGTTACTGATGTGGTGTTAACATGCTAGGAGAACACAGAAAAACAAAGATGTTCTCCAAGAAAAGTAATAACTAGCGGAGGATTTTAAAGTCCCTAAAAATGTAAGGAACATGTTACTGAATTCAATTGCAGGACCTCCTGAGGTTCTCAAACAACTTTCCTTTGCAGTTTTTAGATCTCAGAGCATTTTGGTCAGATTTCTTACTAAATAGTAGAAATGAACTCAATAGTTTGAGAAAATAAATTTCTATCACTGTTTTCATGGCTTTATTAAGAAGCAGGAAGAATGTGGAAGTTGATTAATCCTCTTGCAAAGACTAACCCACTGCAAGAAGACTGATTTCTCAAAATTATGTGAGAAGCAGCCTTATGGTTTTGAAACTGTTTTGTGAGTTATTAAAAAATTAAACATACACCAAGGTACTTGGATAACAAAAGACTGATGTCCTTGAGAAACTCTGAGATGCTGTAGATTTCAGAATGTCTTCAGGTTTATGGTCCAAGAATACCACCTGTAGTTGACAAGTGACAAACACAGCCAGTGAACTTGCATTCCTCTCTAATGTTAGTCCCACCCCAAGTGCAGCAAGCCAAAGGGATTTGTTTTGGAAATCCTCATACAAAGTAGATTAGTTTGGAGCCAGTAGAATTTACGGTTAAGATTCTGCTGGAATCAAGCAGGTGTGGATTCAAAGCCTAGCCCTGCTACTTTCTATCTTTATGAAACTGGGCAAATTACTTCATCTTTCTGAGCCTCAGTTTAATCATCTGTGAAATGGGAATGAAAATTTCCAGAGGTTTTTTTTCTATTAGGAAGTCAGTGTCAATTATTTTATTGTCTTTTCTACTTTTTAATGTACTCTGTTGTGGTAGTGTTTTTTTTTTTTTTTTAAGATGTTAGTTATTCATGAGAGAGAGAGAGAGAACAAGCAGGAGGAGCAGAGGGAGGTGGGGAAGCAGGCTCCTTGGCAAGCAGGGAGCCCAATGCAGGGCTCTATCTCAGTACCCTGGGATCACGACCTGAGCTGAAGGCAGATGCTTAACCGACTTAGCCACCTAGGAGCCCCTGTGGTAAAGTGTTTTTATTGTCTTATATATTTATACTCATTTTTGAAGTTGCATTATCAAGGGCAAAAGTCACGGTCTTTTTCCTCCATATGTTTTTACCTGAGTTGTCTCCATCTTGCAGAATCCCCTACTTTGAAACTAGCGCTGCCAATGGGACAAACATAAGCGAAGCAATCGAGACGCTCCTGGACCTGATAATGAAGCGAATGGAACGGTGTGTAGACAAATCCTGGATTCCTGAAGGAGTGGTCCGATCCAATGGTCACACCTCCACAGATCACTTGAATGAAGAAAAGGAGAAGGGGATCTGTGGCTGTTGAAGAGTCCAGTGAGCTACTCAGTAACTCAAGTGGTCCGTGTCTGTGATCTTTCCTATGGGTGATATGTGTGGCACAGAGAGAGATGAGCTGGCATTATGTACAAACTGCTTCTACCGTCCCACTTAGACCTCTCCGGTTTTAAAATTCATTTGCTGCAGCTTTGTAAATATTTAAGATTCAGCCCAAGAGTTATGAGAAATATTTCACATAGCCAAAAGTGCCTTATAAAACCTTAACCCATGGCAGGAGATGGTTCAGAATTGAGGATTTTGTAGCCACAGAAGAGTGCATTTATTATGTAGAATGACTAAAGATACCATCACCTGCCTTAACATACATCAGTCCAGAGTCTAACACTCAAAATCTTAGATAAAATTATAAAACTACCCATCAGTCTTTAATCCAAATTAAAAAACCCACTTGTACTGTGGGTGACCTTGTAAAATGCCATCTAAACCACTTGAATGTTAAGTAAGAATATACACAAACATCAGTTCAATGTCCTTGAGTATTAATTTATATAAACAGTCTCTTTAAAATGAATATAGCATAAATTATGCTTGTATCTGTAGACTCTGGATAAAGTGGATTGACCAATTGTATGCTCACTGAGGTTCTTGTTGGTAGGAAAGGGGTTGGGGGTGAGGTTAGGGGTATCATAATGTAGTGTAATCAACTGAAGTGGGGCTTCTAGCTCCCTGCTATATTCCTACTGCTCTAAAGTGTTGATTGAAGGATCAGGGAATTAGATTTTTATGGCTGTATTTCACTGTGATCTGTGCGTTTATACTTGGCCTACGTGCTGACCACATTTGAACATAGCTGGTGCTTATGCTGAAGTTATTTGTGATAAGTAAGCATTTAGCTTCTTTTTTTTCATATTTATAATGTTGGTCTGGCATCCTCAGACTGCAGTTTTAATTAGCTTGTGAACTACTAATCTTTTGTCTTCACCATCATGCTTTATATTATTGATATTTGCAACTTGTTTTATTTTTACATTGGTGGAATTAAAGGAATTAGATTTTAATTGCATAAAATGTTTGCTATTTGGTAGAAGAAAGATGTATTTAAGCAGTTACATTTATGCTATAACTCAATATAAGAAAAATGAAGCCTTAAATAGCCTATATTTTTTATTTAGATCACAGGCATTTATTATGTAGAATAAATGAGTCTTTGGGTCTCATTCACTGGGTCTTGCCAAGGTCATGGATTCCTCTGCATTGCCTCAGTGTCTTTATATCAAATTAAAGGTAGTTTTAAAATATGCTTAATGGCAGGTGTTTATAAAGGTCATAGGGGACAATTCTTCTTTATTAAAGAAAGTGGTTTAAGTAAATTAGATTAAAATTTCCAAAGAGCTTAATGGTTATTTAGGAAGAATTACCATTCATTGTAATTTAAACAAAGAATAAAAATAAATGTATTTTGTGGTGGCAAATGATTGGAAGAACTGTAATTAGAAATATACAGCCATGATGGAAGTAATTACTTTTACATGGTAATTTTCAAATAGCTTTTTAATTTTTTTATGTTATGTTAATCACCATACATACATTTTAGTTTTTGATGTAGTGTTCCATGATTCATTGATTGCATATAACACCCAGTGCTCCATCCTATTTCTTTGCCACTTCCTTCCTACTACTCCCTTAAAAAACTTAGCTGGATTAATGAGATCTTATATATTTCTATCCTTGAAATGAAGACTTCTTGTAAATACTAAGAAAGTCATTGAGTCCTATGCATTTGGATTGTGTATTCCAGTAAGGAAAAGATCCAGACATTACAAGGGCAGGGTCCTAATCACAAACAGTGCCTTCTGAAGTTGCCATAGACTTCAGTTTAGCAAATCATAATTTTACAGCTACGTATCAGGCAGCACTTTATATGGTCTATTATGCAGTTAAAAAGAAGACAATATTTGTATGTTTCACTTTTTTCAAGAACCAAATAAGCAATTAGCTACATATCCCATCGGCTTTAAGCATAATACACAATTAAACATGTACATGATGTAGTGCACATGCAAGAACCATCCTTAATTATTGAGATAAATAACCTGTATTGTCTTTGGAAATCCTTTGTTTGAATTTGGTATCAAAGTATCATTTTTGTGCATCAATGTATTTTTCTATTTATAAGACTGTGTAAAAGTAAAGTGTATCCTCAGTGAACTTTGTGCCAATTAAGCTTATAATTAAAAAGTGGTCTAGTCTGCCAAGTTGGTGTGTGAATATGACTTCATTATACTTCTCCTTCTGAGGTATTCTGGGGATTCTGCTCAGCATGGACTCTGCTTGAGATTCTACCTCTCCTTCTGCCCTTCCCACTTGTGCTCTCTCTCTCAGATAAATAAATAAATCTTTAAAAAAAAAAGATATAAGCTCCATGACAAATGGGACTCAGGCAGCTTTCTTCAAAATTGTGTTGCCACTACACAGTAGGTTATTGGTGAACTGCACAAAGGACTTAAGTGGCAGCAGGGTCAAATGAATGAGTTTTCAAATAGGAGTCTGTTAATGTTCAAAGAGGAGTAGAATTTGAAAATAAAAACAGCTTCAAAAATGTTTAGACAGGCTCACATATGTTTGTGGTTTATGTAAGAAATTAGGAAATCTGAGAAGTACATTCTGTATCTTAAAGTTGATGTCAAGATTGCTAACAATCTAAAAAGGGAATGTTTTGATTGTCATTTTTATAAACTGGAAATTTCTGTATGGTATTTCCAGGTCTTCTATTTTTGGCAATATTGGTAACTATATAACTGGAAAATTCTTCCACTATAAAACATTTAGATAATGCTGAATAAAATATAATGAATGTATTTTTTAAATGTAGTGTTGATCTCTCAATAAAGTAAGAGAAATATCCTGCGACCACCCCTTTCCCCCACAAAACAGACAATAACAAGGGCAACAGCAATGGCAGCAACAGAGAAATTTCAACAACCTGATACTGAGTGTGGTTTGCTTTTGGTTTCATTTTGCCAGTATTAGTAATCAAGGTGCTTAGTTTTAGTGACTACATGCCATTAGGAGAGAAAGTCTTGGATATGGCAGAGGTAGGGCCCTGGAATGGAGAAGCCCTCACCCCCAAACAGACAAAAATCCAGGGCCCACTCTATGTCTTAGTCTCTCCTGAGAAATGTATAACCTTTTACACAGGTTTAGGGTTCAAATTTATAGTACCTATTTTTTTGTCTGAGAATGCTAAGCCAAGAAGTTAACATAAAAAAGTGATTTGTGGTTGGTAATATAATACCTCTGGACTACTTAGTAGAAGCGAAGCAAAATCTTTTCAGAGAGAACATCTCCACCCATACTTTACAGGACTCTTCCAGAAAACACTCTACTAAGGATGAACTCACAATTAAAAAATGACAACCCATTCCTTCCCTACTCTCTCAGCCTCAATCATGAGCAAGGGTCAGTAAACCCAAAGCAGCAGTATTTTACACGTAAGGACTTCAAATAATATCAGATGGGGACCATAAAGTAAAAGTTTAAGAAAATTACAAACCTAAGAGGAGTTGAAACATCTGGAAAAAGAAGACATTATTAAAGATAAAAGATTGGTTTCAATGAAAAAAAAAAGACTTCATGTATGAGAAATACAGTCACTGATACTCAAAACTTAATGGTCAAAAGTTAAATGGCAAGTTTGACACAGTTGGAGAGAGAATTAGTGAACTAGAAGCCAGGTTGGAGAAAATTACACAGACTTCAGCAGAGATAAAGAGCAAGTAAGAGAAGAGATACAGAGGAGAGATAAAAGCTTCAATTTATGTCCAGTAGGAATTCTAGAAGAAGCAATTAGAGAAAATAGAAGAAGCAATATATGAAAAGAAAAGAGCTGAGGATTTTTTAGTAATGATAAAACACATACTTTCAGATTCAGGAATCATAAGTCTCAAGCAGGATAAGTGAAAAGAAATAGTATTTCCAAGATTTTAGCTCAATTTATTGGATGTGGAATACATGTCTTTCTTTTCTTATGTATACTGTTGTAATAATTGGAAAGAAAAAAGCTTTGAAGACTGGCTACTCATCCATTCAACCTAAAGTAAAGCACTGAATATGCTTATAGACTGAAAGGAACAAAGCCTCCAATGAAACTTTAGGGTATGGGATTAAGAGCACAGATAAGGGATGTGGCCTCTGACATTGAAGTTAAGAGGGGGATGCTGGGTGATCATGTAAGTGAGAAGGGCAGGATATTTCTTATTTAAGTAGCAGGATAAAACAGAGTTGGGAAGGAATTGTGTAAATAGCTTGGGAGGACGGCTGAGACTCTTCTATAATTGTTGATGGAAACAAGAGAGGGAGAGGATTAAGCAAGGATAAAATAATTTTCAGTGTCTTGGTTGACAATGAAGTATTGGGCAAATGTTTATTACTAACATTTCTGGTATGTGCCTTTGTGGTTAACATTGTTCTGGAATTACTACTCAAATTATTAGAGAAGAAAAGTAAATATAATTATCAGATAAAAGGAAAAATTATATGTATTTGTAGATTCTAATTAGACAAACTGATTCTAAAACTGAAAAAATAAACTTTAAAGAATAGCCAGAGAAACAATGCATAAGAAGGCCAAGAAGGTGAGAGGAGGGCTGCAGGTAAACCCAGTTATTTAAAAAGTTGTAACAATTTAAACATTTTGGAACTGGCACATAAATAAACAAAGTAGAGAGTCCAGAGGTAAACCCATAAAGAAGTGACATTTTGAATTAGGGAAATGATGCATTATTCAACATGTTATCAGAAAAAAAAACAAAACTGGAATCGTTGTCATCTATACTTAAGTAAATTCCAGATTGGCTGAAAATTCAAATGTGAAAAATGCTGTAAAAATAATGGAGAAAAATCCAAAACAAAACAAAAAGATTGGATAAGTTTGGATATATACAAAGAAAACATTTCTGGATGGAAAAATACTGTAAGCAAAGTTTAAAATATCAGTAAATTGGGAAACAATATCTAAATGTCAGCAAAGCACTAACTTTCTTAATATGTCAAGCGATGTTAAGAATCAACATGGTAGAAAACTGTAAAGGACATAAACAGGCAAGTCACAAAGCAAAATAGATTTCGAACATTTGGAAAGATTCTTAACCTCATTCATAATTAAATAAATGCAAGTTAAAATAATAATGAAATAAATTTTAACTTCAGACTGGTAAAGATTATTTTTGACAAGGATGTAGTGAAATCAGTATCTTATTGGTTGTTGTTGAGTGTTAATTGGTAAAACCTTTTAGAGAGTATTCAATATTCCAGATTTTAAAAGAGTACCTATCATATCCTCTGATCTAGCCTTTTTCTATGTAGATAAACTCCCTTTTGGAAAAAAAAGTATATCAGTAAGTGATAGAGTAGGCATTTAGATGTGAGCTGGAGGCAAGGGAAGGTGATAAATAGGTTACATATTAGAAGTCTGGAGGCACAACACCCAGACTTTGTGGCTTCCAAGACCCTGGGGCTAACAGACCAAGAGCCACAGGTGCAAAACTGGCTCTTCTCTTCCACCTCTGCCCCAGGGTAACCCCTAGACTCATTATAATATATTTGCATTGCACTTTTTAGCCCTGCCCCATGGGCAAAGCTGCAATGACAGTTTGGTAC